CTTTTCTAATGTAAGACTTAAAAATAATGGTAAAACATGGCATCCCAAATTCGAACACTATTGATTCATTCAGATGCAAAATCCTAGGTACAATCCTGTGTTAGGAAAACCAAATTAACTTAAATCATACGCTGCAACTGATACCTATCGCATAATTTGCTCAGTCAAAGTAGAAAAACAAAATAAAGAGGTTCTCTCTACTTGCTCCATCCTCTCCCAAGAATGTATAAATAGTTAAGAATGTTTTGACTGCTTATTTTTCATATCCAGACCTATTTAACATGTACTAATTAGTTTATTCATATTACCTTACTATCGTAATAACACAAGTAACCTTTCATCAATTCAGCTAGCTGGTATACAACAATTAAAATGAGGACATGCTTATAAGTTATCTTCTCATACTTAAGAATATACAATTTGGATTAATTTGGAAGACAACAAGAAGTAACTCTATATAACCTAGAAATTAAAATAGTAACCTGCTATTACCAGTTAACTTGAATTGATGGAGTAAATAACACTGTCATGGAGTAAAACTTAAAACCTTTTTAAAAAAAAAAAAAAACATTTTTCGACATATACATACAATAATCAATCAATCAACTACGTACCAATTCCCAACTAGTTAAGTCAGCTATATCAGCATTCTATATCAATTCCACTCCATTTGGACAAGGTTTTGTGGAGAGAGAGGAGAAGCTAACCCGATCATAGTCATTTTGAAAGAGGATTTGAGAGGAATCTGAGAGAGAAGGAGAGTCTCATCAGTGAGTTTTGAACCGACTTTTGGGTATAAAAGCTTCTGGCGTTTAGGCAACACTTTTGTCACTTCACATATGCGTCGTTTTAACTCGCCGACGGTGTCATCGCCGCAAACTCTGACGGTGTACTCTTTGCCGCTCCATTTCACCGTCAGCGTTAACTCTTCCGCCGTCACCGGAGACACTGCAACTGCCGCCGACGATGATTCCGCTGCCATTTCGTTTTTCACTTCTCGACGGCTCACTGGGTACTCCTTTCAAATTAGTACTCCGTAGTAGTAATGCGATTGTTTTTCCGGAAAAGTTTCGTATTTTCCAATTGACCCCAATTCTTTTGCATTTCTAGTCTACGCCTCTTTACTTTTTAAAGCTGATTCCAACACGTAATGAGAATGTCATTTTTAATTCCAAAATGTAAAATAAAATATAATGTGGCGAAGATATTTATAATGGTAATTTTCATTAATGTCGCACTAGGATTAGTGAATACAAATATTCTTAGTTCAAAGAAAATCGTAAATTCAATTCACATCAGAATTTGAGTTTACATTCGTCTCTATGTTTTGGTGTTCTTTTTACTAATATATATTAAGTGATTAGCTTGCGAGAGTGATATGGTGCAAGTATTTCAAGTATTATATTACCGCTTGATTAAAAAAATTGTATAAAGTAAATTAAGTTTAAGAAATTTAACAGACCTAATCACTAGAAAGAATATTGGTCAACTAAGGTATATCAACTCCCTTTCATTTTAAAGTTAAATTTGTTAATAAACATATTTATCTATTTTATTAGATATGATTACATTTTTGTAATCTGAACATTTAAGTAATTCTGTTAGTTAGAGATTTTGACAATCTACTTATTCATGAAACTTCATCGATTTGTTCGCCTTGCAAAAAGAAAAAAAAAAGGACAGTAACTCTACAAGTATAGTAATCGATAGATAATAATTGGAGTATTATTTTAAGGGTTCGCCTTGGTAGAAAATAGGTTCAACTTAACCGAATTAGTCAAAATTTTGATAGATGAAAATCTCCTAAGTAATTATTATAATATGAAACTCCATATAAAATTTAACTAATGATTATATTATGAAACCATAGAAAATTCATATGATGTTTCACACCATAGTTTCAAATTTTGAAAAATATAAGCAAGCTGCATACTTCTTTAGTCATTCAATAATAATAAAATATATTGTGTGTTGATCGTCACTCTGAAATAGACAAATTAGAAACCTAACAAAAATATTTGGGGGGGGGGG